AATCCACAGCCTTTATCACCCCTGAAGGAGTATATTGTTACGTGGTCATGCCTTTTGGGCTGCGTAATGCGGGGGCCACATTTACAAGAATGATCTCTTTATTATTCAAGGAGGTCCTGGGACAGATCATGGAGGCTTATGTGGATGACCTATTGATCAAAAGTAAGCAAGCAGCGGACCATCCTAAACACTTGGAGAAGTGCTTTAGCATCATGAGGAAGCATAATTTGAGATTGAACCCTAAAAAATGTGCCTTTGGGGTCCAGGGAGGAAAATTCCTTGGTTACATTATGAGCAAGAAAGGGATTGAGGTCAATCCGGACAAGTTGAAGGTCATCCAAGACATGGAACCACCAACGAATTTGAGGGAAGTCCAGAGATTAGCGGGGAGGATAGCAGCCTTAGGTAGGTTTCTTGCGCGGTCCGCGGAGCGGTCCCTGCCCTTCTTCACGATTTTAAAGGGAGGGGGAAACTTCCAGTGGACCGCAGAGTGCCAAGAGGCCTTTGAACACTTGAAGGAATATTTGAGCTCTCCACCGGTCCTCTCCAAGCCATTGGCAGGGGATGTCCTTTTCTTATACTTGGGGGTGGCCCACCTGGCAGTGAGTTCGGTCCTCTTGAGGGAAGAAGGAGTCCAAAAGCCAGTTTATTACACGAGCAGGGCCTTAAGAGGACCGGAAACAAGGTACACTCCCTTGGAAAAATGTGTTTTGGCGGTGGTGGTAACTGTCAAGAGGTTGACTCCCTATTTCCAAGCTCACCCAGTGAGAATCATGACGGACCAGCCTTTGGGAGCAGTTTTGAGGGACCCATCTTCTTCGGGAAGGGTCATTAAGTGGGCCATGGTCCTCTCTCAATATGATATTTCTTACCAGCCCCGTTCTGGAAAGAAGGGCCAGGTCATTGCAGATTTTATGGTGGAGTGCACAGCAAGAGGGAAGCCAGAAGAGGATGGGACCGGTCAGGAGAGAAAAAGGGAATTATGGGAGGTCCATTCAGATGGATCCTGCACTAAAGACGGTTCAGGAGGAGGAGCGGTCCTCACCTCCCCTGAAGGTTTCAAGGCTTATCATTCCTTTAAGTTCA